AAAAAAAAAAAAAAAAAAAAATTCCTGCACTTCTCTGGAAACCCCGCGAAGGTTTTTTTGTAAGGAAGAAGATGACGGGCTTCTTACTTCTGAATTCCAGTGGGGTTCCGGACTGGGCCATAGCGGGTAGACAAACGGGCTCAAAGTTATCGGGCCAGGAAATAGTGGGCGAAGTGCACGAACAGCCGTTTTTAGGAGAGCAAATTTCATTTATAGCCACTCGGGCCAAACCTATAACATCCGGTAGCCCAACATTACAATACACATTTTATAGCCCAAAATAATTCCAGTGGCTAGCCCAAAAGTACTGCTTTCTACCTTTTTCCTTCAGCAATTCGAATTTTTGTTCTGTGATTTCTCGATTGAGCTCTTCAGTTTCTCGATTCTCTGTTTGACCACATCGTTCTCGTGAAGAAGCTGGGATTTCTTTTGCTCCAGTGCCGCTATCTTCTGTTTCAGTACAGAGGTTTTCGACGCAGCATCGGATGTTTCGTCGACGGCGATCTCCACCGGCGCATCGTCATAAACCTCAGCCGTTGGTAATATTTTCATCCGCCATAATCAAACACGAAAATAGTAAGCAAAATTGTTGAAAAATGGAGAATAAATAAAATTACAGTTTACTTCAGCAGCCAAAAATACAAAAATTCTCCTCGAAATTTGAAAAACTAATTCGAAAATGAGTAGATCTGCAACTGTGAACAACTAATTTTTGACCACACCCAAATTTTATACTGTGAACAACTAATATATATAACATATTTGATCTTGGAACAGAAAGAAGAGAGGCGAGGGGGGGGGGGAGAGGGAAAGAAAAGAAAATGGCATTTTTGAGGGTGAAATATATTCTGAACAATCTTACAACAACAACAACAACCCAGTATAATCCCACAAGTGGGGTTTGGGGAGGGTAATATGTACGCAGACCTTACCCCTACCCCGAAGGGTAGAGAGGCTGTTTCCAGGAGACCCTCGGCTCAAAAAAACAACAGTAGCCGATATATTAGTACCATAAAAATGCATAATAAAATAACAGCAATATACGAGATATGAAATACAGAATACGAAATACGAAATAGATGGCTGGTATAGTAAAACTAGCAGGTAAAGCCCTACATCAATAGACGACTAATGACATTCTTAGTCTAACTTCTAACTGGCTAGTCTCACTCTATTGTGTTGTAGAAATATTCACAACTCTCCCCTAACCTACAATCTTAATGTCATTCTGGACAATCTTATTGTTAAAAATTAGAGTTCTTGAGTGGAGTTTTCTTTACTCGAGTTTGTTGATGTTCGGCCGCGGTTCTAGATTTTTTATTTATCTGTGTGATTTTTTCGGAATTGAAGTTGTACTTACAGTGAATTTTCATTACATCTACTAAAAAGATCTTGCTTATTCAAGGTGAAGTACTGCGTTTTCTTGTTTATTCTAATATTTTTAGTATTATGAATTAAAGTTTTGTTGAAGAACTTGTATGAAATGTGTTAAATTTTATGTTATTAAGTTGTTGAAGTTATTATATTGAATAGCGAATTTGTTAGAAAAGGATTTTTTGTTCTAGTAAAGAGCATGGGTAAAATTTTCATTTTTTTTAGAAATGTTTGAACCTAAAATATTGATTTTCATTTGTTTTGGCACGAGATATGTTCGTTTAATTCCCTAAAGCCTCTCTTCGTTCTACTGTTTGAGTTGCTGAATTTTTTTAGTCTTTCTTTATCAACAAAATTAGTATCCATGCTCTTATATATTAAATGGTTGTAATTGTGAATTTTACAAGTTATTTACACAAATAATATGATAGCTGATTACTTTTTTTAGTTTATTTATTAAGTTCAGTGATGAATGTTTGCATAAGTACTTCTTTAAAGTTTCTAGATTTAAAAATAATAATAATTTAATGTAAGGTAGGTTTTGTTTAAATTGAAGCATATCAGTAGGAAAGCTTCATCATTCTGAATCTATTTTCCTTGCTAATTGTTTTCTCTCAGTCATATTTTATTTTTAAGACTTTAAAATCACAATGTTATAGTTAGCCTCTATTTATTTCTTGTCTCTCTAAATAAAAATGTAATAATGTTAATATGTTTGGAACTTCGAAAGTTTGCTAAAGTCATCTTAGGAAATTAATTTTGAGTTTGATAAATACTTTATAGTAGGAGTGATGTTACATTTGGACGAACTGCACATTGTGCAAATCTGCAATTAGTATAATACAAAAATGGTTGTTTTCCTATGTTTTGTCTTCTCTATTATTTATCAGTGCCATATTCAAATAATTGTGTTAAGATTGGAATATCTTTACATATGTTGAAATAGAGAGCGAGATGAGTTAGGAACTAATTTAAGACTCGTTGTAATAAGTAATATATATATATATATATATATATATATATAAATGTCTCGGATCAAAAAAGATAAATAAACGGAATACTCTGAATAAGCTTGTATGCTTTAGGCGCATGTTAACCAATAAGTTATCATGATTATGTACACGTTCGCGTGATATAGTTATGATTTCCCAAATTAATTGCAAAGTATGCGTTTGCGCAACTTTGACAAAACAATCTTAAAAACAATAAAGTGTTATTAATTGCGTACACATACACGTGACATGATTCCTGACACACTAAGCAAAATGAATACACGTACGCGTGATTCGTTTCAAGATAATTCTATAATTTCAAATAATCAAGCAATTAAAAGCGGTTTAAGGCAAAAGTGCATAAATTTCTCTAGAACATAAAATATTCAGAATTAGTCAAGCCATGTATAATTATTTAAAGCGACTGTACTAGAATCAGGGAACTCGGGAGTGCCTTACACCTTCTCCTGAGTTAACAGAATTTCTTACCCGGTCTTCTGTGTTTCGCAGACTTAATCAGAGTCAATTTCCTTGAATTGGAATTTTAAAATAAATGGTGACTTGGGACACCGTAAATATTTATTCCAAGTGGCGACTCTTAAATACAAATGAATTAATTCCTTTTCAAATAATGTCACTTAAATTGGAAAAACTCCTTTCTTTCCTCTTCCTCGGGGAAAAAGGAGGTGTGACAGCTTGACGACTTTGCTGGGGATGATAACCCAGAACTTCTATTCAGAGTTTGAATTCGAGCTAGTAATGTGATCTATACTTGGCTTTATTAATTTGATGCTATTACTGTGTTTTTGGGCCTAATGTGCTAATTGCCACTTATTTACCACTTTGATATTATTTGAATTGTATTAAACCGTCTTCTTACGCCTCCCTTCTGGGTCTTCTGAATTTATGGCGCACACGTGCGCGTGACCCACTTTTCTGTTAGAAGTCATACCAATCAGAACAAGGTTGGGTCAAGTAACTAGGCCGGGTAGACTTCCGTGCTCCCAGTACGTGCCCCCACCTCAGCTCGAGTTATCCGCTTGGGTAAGGCAGGTCTAAAACACTCCCCCTAGGATTTAAACTTAGAATAACATAGCTTCATGTCGGATCCCTAGTAGGAACGTTTGTTTGCGTCATGTGCATTTGACTTTGGGAACTCAACATAGGGGTTGGGTTCGTCTAGGACAGGTGTACTCGAGAATTGCAAGACCATCCTGATGCATCCTATGTGCTACTTGTGCATTATGTTTGATTTGGAAAATATCGATATTTACCCCAAAAAGATTATTACAAAATAAGCCTGCATTTTTAAAAAAGTGTCATCCTATTCCTGAAATATTTACAAACTACGCGGGTCTGATTCTCACCAGATATGAGATACGTAGGCAACCTTCATCGTGCCCGGCCCCTAATTTTCAAAAATCCCAAAAAAATATTCTCTTTTAATTCTTTCTTTAGAAGTCTTTCTTTAAGATGTCAAATTCAAAAATCCACAAAATATTTTTCACCTTTTTAGAAGTCTTTCTCCCAAAAATTCAAAAAATTCAAAATAAAAAAATCGAAATCCAAAAATATTTCTTTCTTTCGAAAGTTTCCAAAAATGAAAACCCGAAAATATTTTCTTTCTTGTTTAGAAATCTTTCTTTCGAAATTTTTAATTCATATACACTATGTTTACATATTAGAAAATACACATGTATATACAATTTTGATACATTGTTCAGANTATATATACAAAACTATAATTCATTAAAATATCCTGTATGTACGACTTTATACATACATATATATGCACACACACTCTATACATGTATATATGATTGACTTTTCTCAACTATTATTTTTCCACTTATATGATTGAAAAAGACTAAGTCGAACTTGGAAATTAACTAAAGAAAGGAGATGAAAATCACCACCAATTATGTGTGAGAACTCCTAAGAAAGAAAACCTTTTGGAGGGAAGGGAAAAAAGGATTGGCGTGTGGTTTAATGTAAAAAGAAGCTTCACTCCTTTGTTTGGTCATAGAGCAACACTTGATATTTTTTAAAGTTGATGTAAGAAGTTTTGATTTTTAGGCCTCGTTTGGCCATACATTTTGGCAACGTTTTTTCAAATCTTTTTTGAAAACATTGTTTGTTCATAGATTAATGATCTATTTTTGAAAAATTTCTGAAATTATTGTTCAAGTTCCCAAAATCTAGTTTAGGGTAGATTTTGGGTGAAACTTGTTCTCCCACTTACAAAACTTCAAATTTTTTTCAAATAAAATATATGTCCAAACATAATTTTAACTTTCAATTTTTTTTTTTCAAAACTACTTCAAAAATTATTTTTTCAAGTTTCAACTAAATTTATGTTCAAACGCTAGCTTATTGTTTCCATTGAATCAAAGACTTAATTGTAATGTA